GGGTGTAAAACCTTTTTTTTTTTTTTTTTTTAAACACATTACCTACTCCATTCCTCTGCCAGAGGAAGTCAGTCTGGTGCTGAAATGTACTGTTACAAAATTACACCAAATACATCTTTAAGGAAAGGATTAGTTCCTATACTAGTTGTTCTCAACCTTTTTAGTCATCATGCTCCCCTCCATAACTCCTTTGAATGTCATAGCACCCTGATTGAAAAGCACCAAGCTAGATCTAAATTCAGAAAAGATCTGAAGGGGGTAATCTGTGGTGCTAGATCAGTGGTTCAACTTCAGGGCAGTTGGGGCAGGACCCTACCCTCCCATACACTGCTCCACTGTCTGTCCCATCCCAACCCCTGGCCTGTATCTCATGCTGCTGAGGCTGCTCCTGCAGGGCCTCACGCAATGGGGGCCACCCCTGCAGCCCTTCCCCCAGTCCCAAGAATATGGGGAGTGTGGAAGGGATAAGCCAGGTTACAAAGTGTGGCTCTGTCTGTGCATCTGCCCCTTCGTAGTAGCAGAGTATGCTGCTGGGATTGTGAGGGTGGGAGGTCACAGGAGCTGTCTGGGGGCAGGGGAAAGCTGCAGACTGCTGAGAAGCAGTCCTGGAGTAGCTGGTAGGACTGCAAAGCTTTGGTAGCTGATTCGATTTGGAGGACATTGGGCCTGATTTGGCTTCCGAATCACATCGGGAGACCAATTAAAAAGTCTGAATCAAATCAAAAGCCTATGAATCAATTTGAAAAAGATTTGGCCATAGACTAAACAGGCAGCAGTCCTCACCACACTGAACACAGCTGCCTCCAGCTGGTAACTCTGTTTCTGGGGAGTGTGGGGAACGCAGCGGCTTGGCTGGGGGGGGTGGGAAGGTGGCATGGGATGTGGGTGTGGCAGCGGTGGGAGTAGGGGCTCTGCCCAGCTGCTGCTTGCCCCCTTCTGCCCAGAGCAAGCTGTGCCTGCATCATGCCCAGCTAGGGCAGAGGGGGCACAATGCAAGTACAGCTTGCTCTGGGCAGAAGGGGGCAAACAGCAGCAGGGCAGAGCCCCTACTCCCACCACTGCCACATCCCATTCTCCCCCATGACCCCCCAGGTTGTCCCAGCCCCAATCCCTTCCTCCCCTACACCCCTTCCCTTCCCCCCACCCCTCCTGAGAAGCCCCCCCAGAAAGTCATCTCACACCCACAGTCCCCCCACAATCCACCCA